ATGAGGGTGAGATATCCCCACACTTCAGCGTTGGTGTTATTTAGGGCATTGGCTTCAGAAAGAGCATCCTCTGCCTCCACCATCTCTTCCAGCTTGGGAGAGAGAAGGAGAGGTGTGGTCAAAAAGCAAACAGCAGGCAGAAAGGGCTTCAGAACCCAACAAGCATCTGCCAAAGAAATCGGTGCAATAAAGCATCTAGCAGGGTTTCCCAGGGATGCAGGGAAAGGATTTAGGGCAGAGATAACCCGTTATCCTTCCTCGATGCCAGCATCCAGCTCTCTGGCCTGGAGCAGAAGCCTCTCACCGCTGACTCCTGACCCCCGTGGGAGCACACACTATATTTACAAATCGGCCCCCAGCTGTAAGGAAAGCAGCACAAACACCTTCGCCTCCACCTCTGGGAACCGAGTGGTCCAGCTCCACGGGGAAACACGACTCCGGTCCTGATCCCTATTCCCACTGCACTGTGGCTCCCAGGATGCAGGGGTAGCTGGTGCCCAGTGGGCTGCAGCCAGCTCCCAAGCCACCACTCGCCTCCCTGGCTTGAGTTCGTGGCCTCCAAGGAGGCATATATTTGGCCAAGGGGGAAACAGAAGTTCAAGTTCCTTCCCTGTTGGCTTCCCTCAGCCAAATTCCCTTGGAGGAACCTCACGAGGTGTAGCTCTGGGAGATACCCTGCTGCTGGTGGCTGGGTGTCCTTGGCAGCCCTTCAGAGGTTCCTCTGGGCAGAAAAAGCACCGAGATTCCTCTCTGCTGACATTCTGCTCAATTCCTTTGTGGTGACATGCAGGTCGTGTGCAGGCTGGCACTCGGAGCAAAGCCCAGGCCCTGATTACCTGCTTGCCATCCCCATCCAGGGGAAGGAGGTGCTGGCAGTCCCAGCAGTGGGACGAGGGGGGCAAGGATTGCGGCTCCCAGAGCGGCTGCTGAGGGTGACTGTCTCCTGACATCTCCCGTAGGAGCAGCCCGGAGTGCCACGCTGGGACTGTGACAGAACACGGCACACGGTGGCCTTCAGGAGCATTGGTTTCACAGGCAGCCAAGATTGACTTTAATAAAGGCGATCATGCAAAAGCAAGCCCTGCGTCCTGGGCCATGGAGCCAATTAAAGCTTGGATGACTTGAAGGTAATGGCACTTACCCTGTAGCAGGCAATTCCCACCCCCAGCCAGGTGAGACAGGATGCAGAGTCCTCGCAGGCAAGCAGGTAGGTCTGCTTCGCCCGGCCGTACTGCCAGGAGAGAGAGGATCATGTTTCTCTCTGCATCAAACGCATCCCTCTGCAGACAGTCCCCCCCTTCCTCAGGAATTTGCCAAACACCCCACCTCCGGCGGGGCTCAGACACCCACCATCTCCTCCACTGCTGATGGGGCTGAGAGCCTGCCCGCTGTCCCCAACGCAGAGGCTCTGTGCTGGCAGGTACTAAGGCAGGAATGTAGAAGTCACCCTGATTGCTAGGATGATGAGAAATGGCTCAGCAGCACCCTGAGACATTGCAACTGGGACTTGGAGCAGGGCAGGTCCATGCTCCAAGAAGCTCAGCACTCCAGAAGGGTTTAGTGTGTTGTGAGATCTCAGCTATAGCTACAGATAATGGTGTCTTGCACCTGGGCTCTGGAATCTCCTGCTATTTGCTTTGTGGCAAATTCCCTTCTACCACTCCTGCTGGCTCCTCACCTCTTTCTCTTCCAGGTAGATGGAGCCCAGGCGCAGATAGATGAAGTGCATATCCGCAGCATCCTCCACAAAACTGATGGTTCGCTCGTAGCACTCCTTTGCCTCACCAAAGTCCCTTTTCAGGTAGCACAGGTGCCCTTTCTGAGCCCAGACATTTGGATTCTGTGCACACAAAACCAGGAGTGAGATGTGGCTGGGAGATAGGAGGGAGAGAGATACCTGGGAGAGGGGCAGGGATACCTGTAATCGGCAGAAAGGAAGAGCTGACCAGTGTTTAATTAGAGCAGGGCAGATTTTACGTCCAGAGTTACAATCAAGTCAGTGGGCTGCCTGTGTAACACCAGCAATGGGAGCCCCCTCCAGCCCTTCCCTGCATGGTGTCCTGGCCTGTGCAAGGCTCCCCAGGTGTGGTGAGTATGCAAACAGCAATATCAGAGGTGTCAGCTTCCTTCTGCCTTCCATTCAACCTGACCCCAAAGCTGCCTTCCCTCTCTGCTGAATAGCACCCTTGTTTCTACTGAAACAGAGCCTGACTCCC